TGCAAAGCACTTTGCTAAACCCCGCTGCAGAGCCTGGAGCACCCCAAAATTCCTTAAGAGACATCCCTTCTCTATGGGCTCACCTGCCCTGCAGAGGCAGCTCTTTTCCAGGTGTGCATTATTTGTGCCGATCTTTTAAATTCAGCAAAGCTGGGGGTTGTTAAAGCAGCTCTGCTTAGTTTTCCTTCCCAGAGTAGTGGGTTGCTACAAAGCTTGATGTTCACCCAGTCCTCCTCCATCCCAGCTCCCCCAAAGCTGGTGAGCGGTGTGAGGTGCTTTATCTCAGTGAGTTTTCTTTCCACCCTGATTGTGCTTCTTCCCCATGGGGCCAAGCTGGTGCTTAAATCCTGGAGGGCTAGGGGAGTTCAGGTAAGATGTGGTTGCTCTCGTTTCTGCATTTGTGATTTGCAAAGGAGCTGCCTGTGTTTTTCAAGCTCAGCAGCCCCCTCCTTTTGCTGGTAGGTTGCTGGGAGGCAAAAGCCTAACCTTCCAGGTTTTCCCCTATTTTCTGAAACTGTTGGTGTTTGGGGGGTGCTGCCCCATTGGTGTCTGCATTAGCTGGTGGAGATGGACAAAATGGCTCCACTAAATAGTTTTTTTTCCTCTCTCTCTTTCTTGTGCTTTTTGCTTTCCGATAAGAAAGGCAGCAGCTTTATGAAATGGACTCTCTCCAATACATGTTGCTGTGGTTAGAGATGTAGCTGGGGCTGAGATTTTGGCATAGAAAGGAAGAAATGGGGCTGCAGAACGCCCCCAGCCCCCAGAGCTGCCAGCTCCTTCAGCCTCTTCTAAACCGCCTGTTCAGTGCCTGGGGCTGATGCCCTGCTCAGGGAAGCTGAGGTTACACGCATAGCTCTGCTTTCTTCTTTTTTATAAAAAAAAAAAATAAACCCTGCTGTACTGGCTGCAGGGAAAAGCTTGGGAACGTGAACTCTCCTGGCTCCAAAAAAACAAACAGAAAAAGCCCACAAGGCAAACTTCAGAGAGGCCCAACCATTGCGCTTATTTTGAAACGCTGCGGAGGTTTGTGGAAGGCAGGACAGGGCCCGGCTCTTGGCTGCAGGGCCAGCCCAAGCCTTGCCAGGGCTATCCCAGGACCAAGGTGGGTTGGAATCACTGGCTCTTCCCTGGGCACAGCTGCTGGTGTTTGCTGCAAGCGGGGTAAGTGATGAGCAAAAGCATCCCCTGCCTTTTCCCAAATAATATGCTAAAGCCCAGAGCTCCCAGATCCCTGCTCCTGCCTTGGTGCAGGGAGAGGATGTGCCCAGGCTCTCTTGCAGCTCCTAGAGAGCAGGGACAGTGGCTACATCCACCAGTCTCTGGGTTTTGGTGTGTGCATGTCACGTGCCAACAATTTGGTTTTCACACCCAGCTCAAACCCAAAATGGAAACACCACGAAACTCACTTGGGACTGCAGAACAACAGAGTTTGGTGCTTAAATATTTGAATATGATTCACGCTGCCAGTATGTGTCTTCCCCCCACCCTTCTGAGCCCAAGGTGTCTGGAGGTGGGGGAAAAGCAGGCAGAGACCCACCACAAGCCACTTCCTCTCCCACCCACTTCCAGGCAGCTCAGCCCCAGGATCCCTCCTACTTTGGGCTTACCCTTTCCTAACCTGGCTGCATTGCTTCCCAGATCTCTCCTGTCCATCCAGGCATTCCCCATGGTGGTGTCTGGGACCAAGATTCCCCCAGTTGAGCATCTCTCCTGTGACACAGGTCACGCTGCCTTCTCTGCCCTCCCAAAATATCCCATTTCCTCTGGCAGATGCGGAGCAATTCCATCTCATGCTGCAGGGGAAAATTGGGGTTCCCTTGGCTCAGAGGGAGAGCGAGAAGAGGCAGCTCTGCAGGTATGGACATCCCAGAGATTAGTTTCCTGGAACAGATAGCGGTGTTTCCCTGTTGCTCTCTGGCACACACGAGGGTGAAGTTGGCACAAGGAAGACTTCATCCACCGGGATTTTTCCCACCCTGCTTCGGAGCTGAGCTGTGAGATGTCCCCTCTTTGCGACGTGGGTGCCATCCTCAGCTGTAGGCAGGGAAAAGGGAGCCGGCCGACGGGTCCCTGGCTCCGTGTAGGGCAGAGCAGCACCACGGGGGTCTTCGCTCCGCTCCCCCGGCCGCGCTGGGGCCGCCGCAGCC